GAGAAGCAAATTGGAATGGAATGACCTTCTGCCAGCTGAAGAACATCGAGAATGGCATCAATTCCTAGTATCCTTAGAGAATATCAACAATACAGAGATACCAAGGCGTATATTCTTGTCGCTTTTCCAGAAGTTATTGAGATCCATGGCTTTGCTGATGCCTCAGAGCGGTGCTACGGTGCAGCAGTTTACTGCAAATCTATAAAATTGAAGAGTGAAACTTTAGTTCGGTTAATCACAAGCAAATCGAGAGTAGCGCCTATTAAAAGCCTGACAATTCCCAGACTTGAATTGTGTGCTGCAGTGCTATTGGCAAAACTTGTGAAAAGAGTTGTAGCTGCTTTACAACTAGAAACTGCGAATTATATCTTTGGTCGGATTCGATGATCGTCTTGGCGTGGCTTCGAAAGGAACCGATGGACTTAAAGACCTTTGTTCAAAATAGGGTTGCCAAGATACAAGAACTCTATCCTAATCAGTTATGGAGACACGTACCATCTGATCAAAATCCCGCAGACTTAGTCTCCCGAGGAGTTGATCCTGATAAACTTTTGCAACAAAACTTATGGTTTAATGGACCAACATTTCTCTCAGGTGATGACTATCCCAATCAAACTATAAACTGTAGAGAGAAACTAGATGAATATAATTCAGAACTGAAAAACTGTGTTAATGAACAAATTGAAAACTTTCAATCGGTGCTTAATATTCATGTTAATGATTTTTTAAACGACCTTCTTAATCTAAGCAATAATTATATAACTATTTTACGTGTATTAAGCTTTATTTTCAGGTTCGTGGAAAATTTAAAAGATATAAATAGAGTAGCTGGTCCACTCACAACAAAAGAATTTGAGAAAGCTGAAACCTTTCTAGTAAAAAAAGTGCAAGAGCAAGAATTTTCCAGTGATATTAACCATCTTAAAAGAAAGGGGAGTGTGCTACCAAACAGTAAGTTAAAGACATTGAATCCCTTTTTAGATGACAACGGTGTCTTAAGAGTAGGAGGATGATTGTGTAATTTAGAGTTAAGTTTTAATAAAAAGCACCAGATAATTTTACCAAAAAATAATACATTAACTTCAATAATAATGGAATATTTTCATAAAAAATATTTACATGTGGGAACTGTATCTTTACTGAATCATATTCTGGAAAAATTTTGGCCGTTGAATGGTAGGTCAATGTGCAGAAAAATTGTACATAAATGTATTGTATGTTTTAAAGCGAAACCAATTGTCTCAACTCAAATTATGGGTAATTTGCCAAAAGAGAGACTTATTACTGATTACCCATTTAATTGTTCAGGAGTAGATTTCTCTGGTCCTTTTTTCATTAAAAATAAAGGACAACGTAAGAGAAATTTGTTTAAAGTGTATATTTGTATTTTTGTGTGTTTTGTGTTTAAAGCGGTACATATTGCGTTAGTATCAGATTTAACATCCCAAGCATTCATTGCGGCGTTGAAAAGGTTCATGGCTCGAAGAGGCAAATGTTCAAAACTGTTTTCGGACAATGGTAAAAGTTTCGTCGGAGCTAGCAATGAAATTAAAAAACTCCTTGAAATAGTCAGAAAACCAGACGAAAAATTAGCTAATTACTTAGCAGCAGAAGGAATAGAGTGGAAATTTATTCCCGCGAGGTCGCCCAATTTTGGAGGTCTTTGGGAAGCGGCCATAAAGTCATGTAAATATCACTTAAAGAGTTGTGAATGGAATTAATTTAACGTACGAGGAACTACTTACGGTCACTGTACAAATTGAGGGAATTTTAAATTCTCGACCGCTTTGCCCCCTATCAAACAATGATGATGATTTCCAAGTGCTTACACCAGCCCATTTTTTAATTAATAGGTCTTTAAATTCGCTAGAAGAGCCTAATTTGACGAAATGTAAAGAGAGTAATCTCAAAAAGTGGCAAAAAATAACTAAGATAGTTCAATTAATGTGGAAATTTTGGAGTCTTAATTACTTGAATCAATTACAACAGAGGGGAAAATGGATGTTTGAAAAAAACGTTAAAATTGGTTGATTGATTGATTGAATATTAACGTCGCACTGTTCAGCTACACGAGGGCTTTCGGCGACGGACCACGTAAGTTTGAACCATGGTCTAGTGACGTGGACGACACCTGAGCTGGAACCCCCAAACGTTAAAATTAGAGACTTGGTTTTAATAATTGAAGAAAATTTACCAACCTATAAATGGGCATTAGGTAGAATAGTAGAATTGTATTATGGCGAAGATAAAAAAAAAGTTCGTGTTGATAAAATTAAAACTCAGTATAGTACATGTAAAAGAGCCATATCAAAAATTTGTGTTTACCAATGGAAGATCCTTAAATATATCATTTGAATTTTTCATTTTTAATTGGTGGTGTGTAAATTTGCTCATTGTTAGTAAAGTGATTTTGTATTTGTATAAAAAAAATATTGTTATTTGTGAAATCTTGCATTTATATAATGATTTATGTAATTGTATTTCTTGAGAATTGTCAAGTGTTGAATGTGTGAAGTGTTCTAGATGTAACAAATATGAACGTTAATTTAGTAACAATGATTGCATGGTTAAACCAGTGCAATGTGGGGCGGTATGTTAGTTCTGTTAATGAACAGCGCCCTCTAGCTGCTTGTAAAATAAAACGTCAGTGTGTGTGTACCAATAACTCCGAGAGGTAGTGTACGGAGTAGAGAAATTATTAAAAGCGATCACAGTCCACTGCTAGTGTTGTTTGGGGCTGCGGTAGCCAAGTGGTTAAGGTATCCAACCATGGCAGGCATGTCATGAGTTTGATCCAAGTACCACTAAAGACCCGCCGTGTAGGGCAGCGATGCACGTTAAATCTGTCGAGAGCTGAAACGTCCTCCCGTTGGTGTGGTGTGGTAGTTAGGAGAGGGGGGTGCCAGCTCAGGTGTCGTCCACGTCACTTGACCATGGTTCAAAATTACGTGGTCCGTCGCCAAAAGCCCTCGTGTAGCTGAACAGTGCGCGCGCGACGTTAATATTAACTTAACTTAACTTAACTTAGCTAGTGTTGTTTATTGTGTTGAGCCAAAACAAATTTTATTACGAAATATCTGAGTTTTATGATGACATAACTAATAAATACTTATCAACCGGTAATTAAAATAGAGTTGTATTATCGACTGTGAATAAATAAACTGTCAGTTGCATCCGTTTTAAGTAGAAGTTTAAAATTTCTCTTCAGAGATTAACTCCTTCCCGGCTTTTCCCGAGCTGAGCTCGGGCAGGCGAAACTTACCGTCCTGGCTCATCCCAAGTGTAGCTCGGGCACTGTGAAAATTTAAACTGCGTAGTCGGTCTTTCCCGAATTATTTCACATGTGCTTCTTGGGGTTTTGAATAATTGAAAAGTACCATTCGGAGGAATTTTCTGCTAAAAGAACTTTCTTCTGTTGAACCCCGCCCCCCTTCACGCTTGTATGAAAGACACTTTGTTGATCCCCCCCCAACAGAGAAGAAAACTAATCCAACACGACAGTGTGTATTATGTACAGCTTTAAGAGAGACAGTAAAGGGAAGGAGGTAGAAGAGAAACTCTATTCTGCTCAACAGATTGCGTAGTTGGTTTTGTGCACTGCCGTGTTTTCGAATTTTTCATATGCGATCAAATTTTGATTATAATAATTTCAGTCATTTATGTAAATGCAAAAGGTGCGAATAAAATTTGCAATTCTAAATAAAAGCTGGGTAAATAAGCTTTATATTTATAGTTAGTGTGTGAATGGACTTCAAAGTCTAATGATTACTACCATACAGAAAGCCGACTTTACAGGTAAATGATTCCTTTATTTAAATAGATTTTTTTACATTAAATTTTGAAAGCGATTAGTGCTATAATGATAAAAAAGGTATGTATGTTTGATAACAAGCATTAAAAATTGACATTTTTTTATCCATTATCCAGAAATAAAATGAACCTGGAAGTGGATATAAAATAGAACAATTATACTAGCCTTTACTCACACAATTGCATATCTGGTTCAATTATTCTTTATTTCCTCTTTTCCTCTGTTTAATATCTACATGATTATTTAATTTCATTCATCAGTTGAAAAGGAAGGTTTGTACTTTAAGTTTCAATTGATATACAAAGTAATAATTTTTTAAGTTTTAACCAATGGCTTCTCACTTTTTCATTTCATTAAAAATTAGACTCAATTTAAATACAGAATGAAAAAATTAAATTTTCATCAATATTTCAGAGAGAAAATTGTAAAACAGGTGGTTTTGTGACGCTGAAAATGTTTTGCTTACGACAGTGTCTCTCTCCATCTGCAACTTGTCATTCGTCTACCATCTGTTCGCTTTTCATAAAATATTTCATAATATTTAAATTCCAGATATTAAAAATAGCATTTTGTTCCGTTTCTTAAGAACTCGAATATGTTTGTGGTTTTTGTCATGGTTTTAACTGTGTGTACAAAATATATCAGTGGTGAAGAAAACAAGGCGCATGAAATTAAAAGAAAATGGGGAATGGAATCCTTCATCCGAGATTTGAAGTAAGTTGAAAATGCTCGAAACATATCGATATTTTTGTAGAAATAATTAAGAAGAGAACATCTGTAGGAGATATTAACTTGCTTGATTAGATTCTTGGGTAGAGTGTTTTTGTTTGGAACAATGCAGAAAGATAGCAAATGAACTCAATTTCAAAGATCAATAAATGAAATGCAACTGAATTTAACAAGTAATATAAAAAAAAATTTTAAAGCCAATTCCTGCTTAGGTCAACAAAGAAAAATTTTATTTTAGTTACTTTTTTAAAAAATAGTTACGATAAATATAAACATGCGTATACATATGACAGAATCACAATATTAAAAGACAAAATAGAAGGCGATTTTCCTTTTTCCTTTCTATATAGGGTGTTTCATTATTTTTGTTTTGTTTGTTACTCTTTTATTAATTTATTCTATTTAATTCTTCTAATAAAATAGCGTAGTAAAATAGAAATCATATTATCAGAAATTAGGCCATCTCAGGAGGGATTCGAACTCTCGTTCTTTGGATTAGAAGTCCAACGTGCTATCTATTGCGCTACAGGGACACAACGAACGATTTTCCTTTCTATGTATGCTGCTGGACCATTATTTTTATTACTATTTATTCATTTTTAATTTAATTAATGAATTAATATTTGAAAAACTGTATTAACATCAAGTGTCATCCACTACAAGTTTTAAAAAATGTATTTGAATGGATGAATAGAAAGTATTTTATTAACGATTGGAAATTTGAACAATTCATTGTAACCTTTCATGGATGCTTTTCTTTATGAGTTGAGTATCTTTTTTTAATAACAAAAATCCCGCTAAAAAAGTTTTTATTTACATGTGTGTGTGTGTTCCAAACTTTATCATCTTTTACATTCTTAAGTAAATATTACTTTTAGGAGGATTAACTTACTTAAAAAAGCAAACTTTAACAGGGAGAATAGTTGTGATGGTATAATAATACTTCAAATCCTGTGTATTCTGAAGTATGTATTACCTTAAGAGTAATTAGTAGCGGGAGAGAGAGTGTGTCTGAGACACTTTGTTGCTATATAAGCTGTAAACATTTTAGTAGTTTATTTAGAGAAATAAGCGTAAGGCAATTCGGGGGAAGACGCCACAGTTAAGAATTTTTCGATTAGTACATTGAAAGTTAAAATGACAGGACCATGAAAAAAATACACCTTATTTTTCAATATTTAATTGGTTATGTGTACAAGTTAATTCTTTTCTTAGTAAAGAGTGTTTTTTGAGAGGTATAGAACTTTAAATTGCAATAAAACAACGATGTATTATTCGTTTGACATAAATTTTTTTTATTCGAAAGATAATCTTGTGGCATTAGATTTTAAATATGATTTCTGGAGGACTGCCACGGCTGGCTCGGATGTAGTCCAATCTGGACGTCCAATTTTCGATGACTTTTCCCAACATTTGAGGCCGTATATTGGAAATAACACGGCGAATGTTATCTTCCAAATGGTCAAGCGTTTGTGGCTTATCCGTATAGACCAATGACTTTACATAGCCCCACAGAAAATAGTCTAGCGGTGTTAAATCACAAGATCTTGGAGGCCAATTCACAGGTCCAAAACGTGAAATTAGGCGGTCACCAAACGTGTCTTTCAATAAATCGATTGTGGCACGAGCTGTGTGACATGTTGCGCCGTCTTGTTGGAACCACAGCTCCTGGACATCATGTTTGTTCAATTCAGGAATGAAAAAGTTAGTAATCATGGCTCTATACCGATCACCATTGACTGTAACGTTGTGGCCTTCATCGTTTTTGAAGAAGGATTCCACCAGCCCATAAAGCGCACCAAACAGTCAGTTTTTCTGGATGTAACGGTGTTTCGACATACACTTGTGGATTAGCTTTACTATAAATGCGGCAGTTTTGTTTGTTGACGTAGCCATTCAACCAGAAGTGCGCTTCATCGCTAAACAAAATTGGCTTATGAAAATCGCGTGACCATTATTTTCGAAATAAAATTGCACAATTTGAAAGCGTTGTTCAGGCGTGAGTCTATTCATGATGAATTGCCAAACCAAACTGAGAATAAACCACTCGACAGCTGTTAAATCGGTCGCCATCTTGGAAAGTGTTACACTTATTGGTAAACTAACCCAAATTTTGGCAAAGCAAGCAGTGAAATTTTTGTGTCGAGGAGGCATGAAGACGAAAGCAGTTTCTTAAAATTGGCTTTTAATAATCAATGATAAAGTCAATGTGCTCGTTACTGGAGCGATAAAAAAAACAATAAGTTCAAAAATCAACATTACCAGACATCCGATTCGAACCGTCTTCTTACAGTCTAATATTGTAAAATGAATTTATAATCTGAAAATGGTGATGCAACATACAGTTGCATTGCCAACCAGCCGGTCTCTCCCTCTAAGAGTTAAAACACTCACACACTTCTTATATTTCTTTTTCTCCTTCCCTTCTGAAAAACTAACATGAGCCGAGTTTAAATAGTCGCTCGATTTGCATTGCAGTTGCTGCCAACCACAAATCACGAAACTTGCAAAAAGATCGGGTTCGAATCGGTGTGTTTACTTTCATTGAGATCATGGAACGGGATTGGAAAAACAACACAAGGAGATCATAAAAATTTGGATCCGAAAAATATTTCGAATGGTTTTACTTTTCAAATGTCTAACAGAAAGTAATGCCAATTTAAACTTCTATACCTGAGAAAAAACACTCTGTATAAAAATAAATAAGAACTTTAATGTTAAAGACATTAATTTAATTCTGGCATCTTCGCCCATATATGCGGGAGATGCCACCAGTCATAGAGTAAGATGCAACAACACCACAGTAAATAAAAAAAATGCGACTAGCATTACGAAATTAAATGTGAAATAACAATAACTATAAAGAAACAAAACAAAACAATTAAATTCTTTCACAATTTGTTTGCTAAAAACAAATTTTCCAGCAGAATAGTCTACAGCATGCTAAAGTAGTAGTAACCCTGCACATCCTCTTCCTATAGAGATCCTCTATGTCATCCTCACAACCTAATTATTAATTGTATAGTTATATTTTATACAATATACAGTGTTATAAAATGAAAAAAAACTTTAAGTTCATTTCATTTATTTCTTAACCATGGGGCACCTTCCCCTAAATATAGGGGGAGGGAATAACAAAAATCTTATTTCCTTATTGCTGCAGTATTATGGCCGTTTCTACATGCGTCGCATGTGTAACATTATGCGTAACTCGCTTATATGGCGAATATCTTATTAAAAATAGCATGTATTTTTATAGACTTTAAATAAGGAATATTATAAAAGATGCACTCACCCCTTTAAATGTTTAAAAGATCGAAAAATAAGGAGATTTAAGTCTGTTTTCGGTAAAAGTACGAGAGCTTGAACTCTAAACGCAAAGCACATTTTTAGACAGAAAAATTCCTCAATTTTCATCGAAATTTTTGTAATACTATACCTCTGCTAACAATACAGCGTTTTTAAAAATTTCAAAATGTTCCTTGAATACTTTCTTTTCCGTTTTAATACGTGAAGGCATAGTCCATTTAACATTACGATATAGGAGAAATAATGCGAAACACATTTTATACCAGAAAAAATGAATCAACTCGGTTGAAAAGGGGAAGTATAATAAAAAATGCTGCTCTCTAAAGGATAGGGAAACCAGAATAACATATTAATTTTTAAATTCTTTTATGTAGGAAAAATTGTTCAAAATTTGGCTCCTGTTCTTTAACATTAACTGATCACAAGCCTTAAAGACGATTAATTCAGAAAAATTCCTAAGCCACACTCAGTGTCGGACCAGACACTTCCCACTAGTGTGTGTGGCTCAAAATTGCCATCTATTGAAGCATAAAAGTACTATTAACAAACTGGCATCTTCCCCCAACTGGCATATCTCCCCGAATTACCTCATATAATACTCGTAAAGTTTAGTTATCTGCCTACAAAATATTTTAAGGTATCCGACTACGTTCGGAATCGTGATTTTACAAAAGCGTATAAACAAATATTTTTTTAAAAAATTGAGTGTTAATTAGATTAGAATACTCGAATAACATTGTTTTAAGAATAGTACTACACAATAAAAAATTATTTAAATTCAATATTTTGGGAAGAAATGAACATAGAACTACCTATATTTGAAGAACATTTTCCTTTTATGGGAAATGCTTCTATTCCGACTTTATGTAGCTCAGACCTCTTTTCAGAGCCTGAACTTAGAAATGGATTTATCCAAATTTTAATGCATTTGAGTGGAGAAATTTTAACAAAAAAAACACAAATTAATTAAATTAACGAAATTCTGAAAATAATACGAATTTCTCCAAAATCTTAGTTCAGGCCCTCTGTTAGTCAGGCCTAGTTAGCTATATAAAAGCAAAATATTATTATTATAGAAGCATTTTTCATGAAAGAAGAATGTTTTGAAATTAGGTAATTCTAAGTTTATTTTTTACCAATATATTGCATTTAAATAATGTTTTATTGTATTAATCTTCTTAAAAGAAATTTATACGTTTATTCTCTCTCTCTCTCTCTCTCTAATCAAATAAGTGACACTAAATATTAATACTCGTTTGCACGCTTTTGAAAAATCACGGTTCCAAATGTAGTCGGATACCTTTAACAATGAAAAATATGTAATTTTGAAAAGAAAATTAAGAAAGAGAGAGGTAATTCTCGAGTCTATTTTTACTATAGTCTATAAAAAAAAATGCACATTTTCTCAATTAAAACATTTTCTGTTTGGATGCGAATTCTCCTTTGCTTAAATATATATATATATATATATATATATATGTTATTTCCTTATAAAATTTTCAAATTATACAGAAAGTTTTTTCTTCTCTCTTATAAAAAAGAGGCCTTTTAATATGCTATAATTATTAATTTAATTTTAATATTGCATTAATTAATTAATTCAAGACCTTTTAATGTTAACAGAGCGTAGAAGCATGTTATAAATTACAGTAGAACTATCTGCATTAAACGGTGAAAATCGTTTAACACGAAACTGAGAGGATTGAAATATTTTTCTTGTTAAAAAATTGCAAAAAAAAAACCATGTTTACTAAAATTAAGTTTATTAGAGTATATATTATTTACATAGATACGTATATATGCATGAATTTAATAAAAATCGATGAAACAAAAGTATTCACAAGAACTTAATGAAATTGAATGCAAAATTTTCTCTCAAGTGTTTTTTGAAAAACAAAATATTTATTGAGTTTTTGGAAAATAATCTAATATTTTTGTTTGCATTGTCTTTTGTAGCCACAAATTGAAAACAAATTATTTGATTTCGTCCATTTTGTTATTCGTTTTACCACTGGAATTTCCGTCTAAATAACTGCGCATACTTTTCATGATGTTCTACATTTCGGATGAGGTTGGAATAGGAGCTGCATTATTCATTTCGTTTTCGTCATCGGAATCTGCATCAATGATATTTTTTTTGAGATTTGAACAAACTCCAAAATGTCTTTGTCTGCCATGATTGGGGCTGCATTCACATTATCATCATCATCTACTGCAGCGAATT